TACTCTTTCATATAGTATAGTGTATTATACTACATAAAACTGTATTTATAATTATTGATTCTTTTTATTTTTTCTTTCATAAATTTAATATAAAGTTGGACAAACATGATACGATGTTTTCAGTTCATGCCGCCATCTTAATCGTTTCCGTGGAAACCATACAAACAAACATACAAACGAAAATAATGTCACTGATGTGTTGAAATTATATTAGAAAATTATTTCGCTGTAGAAAAATAAGCAATGAAGGCTATACCAACGTGGGTTGACAAAGTTCAAGAAAAATCAGAATGGTAGTAATTTCAAAAAATAATTAAATAATTTAGATGATACCGTTTTGATACTAATTTTAAAAATATCAAATTTTTTTTGTATCTTTCTTTTTCTTCTATTTTGATGAAGAGTCTTTTTAATTTATCTTCTATTGTTTATAATAAAAACAAATATATACTTACACATACGAATGTTTTAGTATATATGACTTATGTTTTAATCCTGATGGAACACAATTAGTTGTTGCTGCTGGACAGCAAGTTCTTGTATATGAAACAAATGAAGGTGCTTTAATTCAACCATTAAAAGGTAAGTGAATTTATAAGAGTTTAATAATATGAAAATGTTATAAACTACATTTACATGCAATTTTTATAGGACATAAAGATATAGTTTATTGTGTATGTTATGCAAGGGATGGTAAAAAGTTTGCGTCTGGAGGAGCAGATAAAAGTGTTATCATTTGGACATCCAGATTGGAAGGCATACTTAAATATTCGTAAATTATATTTTTTCAAATAATATATAAATAAAATTAATAAAATTGGTTTTTTGCTTATAAGTATAATTGCAAATAATTTTTTTCAGTCACAATGAAGCTGTTCAAGCCATGCAATTTAATCCAGTTTCGCATCAACTTTTGAGTTGTTCATTATCCGATATCGCTTTCTGGTCATCAGAACAAAAAGCAGTAATAAAACATAAATCGAGGGGTCGAGTAAATTGTTGTGCTTGGACAAGCGACGGTCAATATTTAGCCATTGGATTGGCTACTGGCTATGTCTCAATTAGAAATAAAGTTTGTTACATTTTTTTCATATTTTAATACATTATCACATCTGTAATTTCCTAATTGTTATTCCAATGTGTTTATTAGAATATTATATTGTTTATGTTTGTTTTATAATGTCTAATTATTATGTCTAATTATTTAAATAAAGTTTTATCATTAATACTTTTCACTGTATCAAAATTTTAGAACGGAGAAGAACAAACACGTATTGACAGACAAAATGGAGTTCCTATATGGAGTTTATTATGGAATCGTCAATGGTAATGTAGTATTATTTTATTATGTTTTGCTTTTCTATGAAAATTGGTACACAGCCTGTTTATCATTAAATTCCTATGTTATTTATAGGGAAAATTCTGTTGATGTTCTCTGCATAGCTGAATGGAATGGAACCATATCATTTTACTCAACTGCAGGAATATCTGTCAGTAAAGACAGATTATTAAACTTCATTCCTCTTAAAATGTGCAATTTTGCAGGTGGTCAATATATTTTGATTGCGGGAAGTAATAAACAATGTATATTGATGACGTATGATGGAATACAATTAATCAATATTGGCGGTACCTTTTCTTCTTGGGTCTGGTGCTGTGCTACGAATCCAACTTCTACGCATATTGTAAAAATTTGCATTATATTTCTTTTATTTTATTTTATTATTATATTTGTAATTTTATTCTTCTTTTTTACTTTCCTATTCAGGCATTAGGTTGTCAAGATGGAACAATAACATATTTACAGCTATCATGGAATATTGTACATGGATTATATGGAGATAGATATGCATATAGAGAAAATATGACTGATGTAATAATACAAAATTTAATTACTGGTCAGAAAGTTAGAATTAAATGTAAAGATCTAGTAAGTAAAATAATTAATTGAAAAGTACTGTTTTTCTTTAAACGATATTTATAAATGATTTTAGGTTTCGCGTATAGCAGTATATAAAAATAGGCTAGCAGTTCAGTTATCTGAACGTGTAATAATTTATGAACCATCAAACACTAATGATGGAATGCATTACCGAATACGTGAAAAGTTAAATCAAGCACTGAACTGTAACTTATTAGTTGTTACAACCAACAACTTGATATTATGTACAGAAAGAAGATTACAGAGTTTATCTTTTGGTGGAACAGTAGAAAGAGAGTGGATACTCGATGCATTTGTTACTTACATAAAAGTTGTTGGCGGTCCAATAGGACAAGAATGTTTAATTGTAGGTTCGTACTATATAGATCAAAAAACAGAAGCATATAGCATATATTTTCTTCTCTCCTTATTTTTTAAGTAAATAGTTCTTATATTATGTATGTACATGTGGGTATTATTATTAAGTTTTATTAAAAATATAATTTTCCGTTCTAGGTTTAAATACTGGTTATATAGTAAAAATATATTTAGACAATCCTTTCCCAGCACATTTAACAAAAATCAATGGCTCTGTAAGATGCCTTGATATCAGTTCACTGAAAGAAAAACTTGCAGTTGTTAGTGACCAAGGAGTTCTTTACGTATTTGATTTGTACGCAGAAGAAAAACTTCAAGATTTTCAAGATGTAAACAGTGTAGCTTTTAACAGTAGTTTTGAAGATATAATGTGTTTTACAAGTGAAGAATATTTAGTAATTAAAGTAGGAAATTTTACGGAATACAGACAAAAGTTTTCTGGATATGTTGTGGGTCACAATGGATCAAAGGTTTACTGCTTAAATGGATCTTGCATTGTTACAGTGGAGGTCAGATTTCAATATTTAAAAATTCTAGAAATATAAAAATTCTGTATTAATATTTTAAATATTTTTTATGGACAGGTGCCTTTGTCGTTATTTATGTATCAGTATTTAGATATTGGTCTTTTCTCTCATGCTTATAACATAGCTTGTCTTGGCGTAGCAGATTCAGACTGGTTTGCTTTGGGTACCTCTGCTTTGGAAAATCTAGAATTAAATATAGCATATTCTGCGTTTGCTAGAGTTAAAAACTTGAGGTATATAGAAATTGTATCAGAAGTGGAAGAAAAACTCAAATCTGGTGAATGGGGGAGAGAAGCATGCATGGCAACTGCTGCAGCTGCTATGGGCAAACTGAAGGAGGCTGCGAAACTCTATCAAAAAGCTGGTTTACAACAATATGCATTAACTATGTACTCTGATTTACGTATGTTTGATATTGCACAAGAATTTGTTGTTAGTGGAAACAGCCAGGTTAGTGAAATTTACATTTTTTAAATAATTTATAATCGTTAAGATATATTTGATTAGTATACATAACGTATTACAAAAATGTAATTAAAAAGTATAATTATTTTACTATAATTGCTATTGATAAATGATTTAAAAATAAAAAATTTGTTCTGATACTATGTTAAGGATCGTACAATATTACTCCGCAAAAGAGCAGAATGGGCAAAAAGTCTTGGAGAACCACGCGCCGCGGCAGAAACATTTTTATCAGCAGGAGATGTGGATCGTGCTATTAACATAATCGCGGAGTATGGTTGGATTGATATGTTAATTAAAGTTGGTAGACAACTTGATAAATCAGATAGAGATAATCTGACTATAATTGCTAAGAAGTTAAAGAAATTGGGTGCAACGCATGGTGCTGCGGAAATTTTCAGTCGTTTGGGTGATGATCCTGATGTGGCGGATGTCTTAGTGGATGCTCAAGCATGGCCAGAAGCTTTTGAACTGGCTGAGAGAAATCCAAAATTGAAAGGAAGAATATATGGGCCATATGCTAGATGGTTAGCAGAAACAGGTCATTTTTCCGAAGCACAAGAAGGTAAATGGAGTTATTTTCCAGAACAATGTTTTTAAATTTATAATTTAAAGTATGACGTAAAATAATTTATTTTTAATTTTGTACCCTCAAAATGTAAAAACAGAGACGAACAAATTAGATTTTCTTAAGTTAATACGACATTACATTAAAAGTACAAACTTTGACATATTTTTTTAGCATTTCAAATAGCTGGACAATCTGAAGAGTCTATAATGGTCTTAACAATGCTAGCAAAAAATGCAGTTGCTGAGAAACGTTTTCGTGACGCTTCGTACTTTTATTGGCTTCTTTCTCAAATTAGTTTAAATCTTAACAAAAGCACAGATGAACTACAAAGACTGTTTTTACAGTATTATGAAAAGGCTGATGTTTATTATGCTTATCATGAGATTCATAAATATGTTGTAAGTAAAAACTTAAACTATTTATTAGTTTAATAATATAAGTTTTAAAAGTATCGTTAAACCACATTACGATAGGAACTTGTTTATAATACTTCACATTTTTAGGAAGAGCCATTTACGTCATTAATGCCTGAAGCACTTTTCAATATTTCACGTTTTTTATTGACAAAAACTCAGAATATTCAAGTTGAAGGAATCTCAAAGTTTACTATTATGTATACACTATTAAAGCAAGCTTCTTTGCTTGGTGCAAACAAATTGACAATGCAGTTACTTGAAAAACTGCGCAAAACAAAAATTCCCGCTAGTCAACTTTGTCAATTAGAAACTTCAAATTTACTGGCCAGAGCTTCTCCTTATAGGGATCCTGAAGAACTTTTGCCTCTGTGTTACAAGTGTTCAACTTTTAATCCTTTATTATCGGTGGACACTCAGGGACAATGCGTACAATGCAAAATAAAATTTCAATATTCTTTTGTGATGTTTGGTATGTTATATTTAATTTTCAAAGAGTATAACTTAATAAGGAAGATACCAATGCTAAATTATTCGAAAAACATTACATATTTATCCTAGAGTATTTTCACATAATATATGATTTTAGAGATTTTACCGTTAGTTGAATTTGAATTAGAGGAAGATATTCCAGATGAAGAAGCAGAAAAATTAATAAACGAGTCATTACCGTCATCTGAGAATATGACAGATAAAGATCAGCTCACCATTAGTTCTGAAATAGATTTGTTTACTGCTCGTTTAATGAAATATGAGGTATTATTATATATAAATATACTATCTATATAATATATTTTTTTTTCATTGGAGTCACACATATATATGCAATATGTTATTTCTAATTATAATTTGATACTGTAGGAAAAATCAAGTACTTCTACTATAATTGTCGGAAGAAATGTTTTGAAGAGTATGGACCCATGCACCGTATTAATCATTAAGTGGCCAAATCCATTTAAAACGCGTTATTTTAAAAATCTATTACCTGATTTACAAATTACGTTTTGTAAATTTTGTCTGAAGGTATAAAATTAACATATAATTATTTAATATTTTAATTATTCATAAATAATAAGAATATTTTATCTCTAATTAACTCTTGTTTTTTTCAGCTGTTTCATTTAGATGATTATGAACTAGCTTTGTTGCGATATGGACATTGCCCATTCTGCAGAACAGCAAATAAATTTTCTGATTAGAATTATTCTATTATGTATGCTGTATATAATCAAAGTGTAACAGAATTTTATACAAAATGAGTATATATTAAGTGAAAAATTATAACACGAGGTAAAATATTAGTAAAAACTGTATACATATGAAAAGTGTAAAAAGTTTTAAGATTTTGTAAATTCACAATTACTTTAATTGAATTATTTTTAATAACAATTTTTTATTTTCTTTATTTATAATATTTTTATTTAATAAAAGTAATTTAAGATGCATAAACTATATTACTACTCGCTTAGTATGGAAAGAGTAGGAGGAATAAAATATTCTGAAGAAATGATAAATTGATTGCAATACTTAGAAAATAGAAGGAAAATAAACAATAAAATTTGATCGAATGTAAAATTGAAAGTAAAGGAAGTAAGATAAGTTTGGTAAAATAAAAAACCTGCACAGCAGAGTTCATACAAAATTAAAAAAGGATAAACAGAAGAAATTGCAAGGCAAGTTCACTTCAGTGTTAAACAAATTTTAGAGATTAATATAGAGAGTATTATATTAGATACAAATACAACCAAAAAAGTATAAAACAAAGTTGAAAACGTATAAAACATAATAAATCTGTTTTACAATTCTATAAACTTTAGTTGTTCTCTACCAGGTAAATTGACAATACAGTTATGTTTGTCTTTCTGTAAGTGCTAATGATTCTTATTTCTTCAGTACCGTTAAACGAAATCTTTGGAAGAATCGGGTATGTTTCAACCAGTTGTAATCCGAAAGATGTTGAGTATAGTACTTCTAATGATTTTCCTCTTTGGAAACTCGATCATATGTCGTTTGAATAACGATAATGTGGATATCCAAAATTTAAATGAACGCGCAAGATGTAAGTAATTTTTGCCGAGAAATATCTGATGTTGCCTTTGAAATATTAAAATCTAGAAATGATACAAATAATATACCGATTTTTATAATAAAAACTAAATAATTAACACAGATTAATCATATTGAACATGAGAGCACTTTATCAAGCACACAACTCTTTAACAAAATGTATTATTATAATTTTTATGCAAAAATTTATAGTATAATATTCAAGTGTTACATTCAACTATTATTTTATAGTTTATTAAAACATACAATTTATATGTTTTTATCATTTACTTCCTATGATTCTTAAATTATCCAAAGCATTTTTAAACAGTTTTCCCGCTGTTCAGTGTTGTTCGTTTTGCAAATTCGCAATGCTTGGCTAGCAACAACTTAAATGGTACTTGCTTCACTAGAAGAGAATGCCGTGAGTATGGTGGAACTGCATCTGGTAGTTGTGCAAATGGACTTGGTATTTGCTGTGTCTGTGAGTAATCGGATGATTGTATCTTCAAAATCTTTAACTAATTTTTAAATACTGTTTCCAATTAGTATATGAATAATTGTTACAGTTCAAAAAACATGTGGATCTACCACAAATGTAAATAACACATACTTTACAAATCCGGAATATCCAACAACTTATGATGGAACAGGGCGATGTACAATAACAGTACAACGTTGTAATTCAAATATATGTCAGGTATGTATTTAAAAAAGTGTTTGTAAAACAATTATTTGTTAGGAGATAAAATAATATTGATTTTTACACGTTATAATAACAATATTTTATTTATTAAAATAAATTTTTATCTGATTTATTCATTTTATTCTTTATTTATATTATCAACATTTTTATTTCAGTTACGTTTGGATTTTTTGGAATTTAATCTTGCTTTCCCAAATATTAGTGGCATCTGTGATTATGATCTTCTTTTAGTTTCGGGATCGTCGACGACTGTACCTCGTATTTGCGGAGAAAATGCAAATCAACATGGTAATAAAAGAAATAGTATAAAAAATATTCAGTTACAAGTATTATAAAATTTATCATTTCCAATATAATTGTTTTCAAATTATTTAATGTAAGAAAGGCATTGTGTAAATTTTCAGTTTATATGGATTTTAATGGTGCAACACCGATTATGATATCAATTGACACTAATGCTGAGTATAGTGCAGAACGTCGATGGAATATAAGAATTCAACAAATACCATGCGACTCTACTTCCAGAGGTACATAAATACTATACAGTTTTTAATAATTGGTTCTTATGTATTTTATGTTTTGTTTTGTAGCACCAAATGGATGTTTGCAATATTACACTAGCACTTCAAATACTGTTACAAGTTTTAATTACGGCACAGCGCCAAATCCAAGAGGTACTATTACTGATATTTTTAATTTCTATCTAAACATATAACATATATACAAAGGAATCTTATTCAGTCATTGATTGTAAATAATTTAGCACCTGGAGCTGCTACACGACAAATAGCAAACACAAATTATGGTGTATGCGTAAGAATGGCTCAAGGATATTGTGCCATTGAATGGTCACAAACTACTACAACTTCATTTTCTGTTTCTGGGGATACAGGCTCCTTAGGCTTCCCTATAATAGGTAACATAATGCATAATTAACTTTGTTTTTCTTAACAGCAGCATTCTGATATTCTTAATTCTTAATTAGGTACTGCAGATGCTGCAATAATAGGAACAAATTGTACTACTGATTTTGTTATCATTCCTAATCCATCTCAAAGTGGTATGGCAATTGGGGTAGATCGATTTTGTGGAAATGGCTTTACAACAAAAACATGTAAGTATAGTGTTGCGATTTTTTGTAGGAAAAGTATTTGTATACGGTAATTAATTAATTGATTTATTATTTCAGCATCTTTAAAACCGTTTGTATTATATGTTGTCACTGACGGAGATGAATTAGAAGATATGGAAAATAGAGGATTCTCGTTGACATATCGTCAAATACCTTGTGCGGCGTAAATTAAATAAACTTAATAATTTTTATAATATCTATAGTACTTTAATTAATAAATAATAGATGTATTACAATTTCTTGTAAGATTTGGAACTCTTTAAAATTGTGTGAAATTTAAGCTTTTAACCACTGAACCCATATGCTATACATGCACTTTGGAAAATGCCAAATCGGTCAGTAGTAAAAAATCAACTGTTTTTCAAATTTTTGCATTATCTGGAACTGCTTTTAATTTTTAAAAAAGATGCGTTTTGCTAGTAATCGTTATATTAATCGGCTGTGAAAGGGTTAATCTTACTAATAGTATAATGATGAAATCTTTTTAACCCATTTTTTACTACAATACACAGTAATATTCTTATTTATATTTTATTTTCTTAATTTTATGTACATTAAAACTATATATTGTACATATTAAATACTAAATGTAATTTCATAATACATATTTTTTTAGTATAATAATAAATTATTTAAAATTATTCCGTTTAAAATTGGATTTCAAAGAAACACATCAACAAAACGATATTTGATTGTTGAATTAATTTAAATGCAATATTCTTTATAAAAATAATGAAATTAATATAAATTACTGCACAAGGAACTTATTAATATAATTAATAAATTTACACTATTCAATTAAGTATTTGCTCCCAGAATGTGTCTCTACTTCTTCCATCATAGCGCTGTACCATGTATTAAGTTTCGTGTTATCTATGACATCGTGGAAAGCTGTACAACCTTCTATACTTTTCAAAATTCCATAAACAGCAAGATCGGCTAAGTTAGGTCTTTCTCCTCCCATGAATCTACCACCACGATTTTTAATAGCATGTAACCATTTGTTGACATCGTCATAAAGAGATTGCCGAACATCATCCTTAAGATTATGTCTTTTTTTCAAACGTTTTGAAATCATCCACATAGCTGTAGCGCCTATATTTATTATTATAAATCTTTCCCAAGCTGGAAAATATTCTTCCCATTTGCCAACCTAATAAACAAAAATTCATCACTTTTCAGTTTAGTTTTAATAAATTTTATTCATAGCATATAATTTAATAAATGCATAATTAAGTACTGTAAGAGAAAACATTAAAGAATACACATCCAGAATCCTATTTTCATCTGTAGAGCTTTGTTAAAGAAATATGTATACTTCAGAATACTTACTTTAGAAAACCAATTAAAGGTATCAAAAGCTTCATCAAGAGTCCTATACACATTTGGTGAAAGGGTATGAACCAGGCTTTCATCTGCCCATTTCCTCCATTTACGCTCTTCTCTGAAAAAATACATTTAATTTTATTTCGTGCTTACTTTTTATTAGAAATTATCTTTAATACATGTAGAATTTCATAGTTTCAGAAATTAATATATAGCTTCTATGTTAATTTTAATTTTAAATCTTGAATTAGTGATGCAGTGGTACCTTGACTTACGAACTTAATTCGTTTCAGTTTGAAGTCTATATCTCGACGCCAAGTTTTCCATTATATTATAACTCAGAATTATAAAAGCATCATAGTTCATTTCTCGAAATTAAGTTCATATCTAGAGGTCAAAATGGAATATGAAAAAAGTTTGTATGTAGATACATTGGTTCATAAGTCAAGCTACCACATTAAACTACATAACACTACTTACACAATATCATCGAAGTTCTTATTTTTTGGCAAAGATTCGTTATACATCAAGAAATATTTGTTCATAATATCGTATTTGAGTTTATCATGTTCATCATGCATTGCTATACTTGGATACCAATGTATTAACTCATCAATTTTTTGCGATTTATCTTTTAAATGCGATGCAATTAATGAAACAATCATTGAGCTGTCATTTAATGGTTGAAAACCAGAATTGGTTTTAGCTAAAAGTATTGGTACTTTTCGGTAAGACGACCATGATATTTCTTTTCTTAATACTGGATCTACTTCCACAACATCATAAGATAGACCAAAATAATCCAAAAACACTCTGACCTGAAACATGTTTTTCTTTTATTAATTTTATTATAATCATTGTGTTTTCTTATTCTGAAAAAGGAAGTATAACTCAATATTTAATAAGATTTTATTTAAATTAGTCATTTCACTTTAGTTTTCATTTTCCACTTAGCAAATTTACATGGATACCTTACCTTACAACAAAAAGGGCAGGTTTGATATTGAAAAAGGGTTAACTTCAATCCGCTTGTGTCTGTGGGTGAAATAATCTAAAATAAAAATAAATTGTTATAATATGTAGCTAATATTCGTATATAATTTGTGTACATGTTACTGAAACATTACACATAATTATTAATAATGTTGACAAACCTGTCTTGAAACTGGAACTTGTGGTTTCGCTTCCAGTACTTGAATTTCCCGTTTTGTCCCTTCAAGATGATACGTTTTAGATTTCTCAATATTGGAATAAATAGAATAACCTGTCGCAGTGAGAGCCCCGACAGTCATTCCAATTAGACTCGCTTTTAGTACAGTTTTTTTTCTTGTAAAGGGTTGAGTGGTCGATGAGAAACTTTCGTTTCTTCTTGGGCATTTTAGAATATATTTAAAAGTATGAAAATTTTGTGACAATTTTAACGATTTCGTTAGAACAGACATTATAAATACTTATTAACTATTATATGCTTAGTTTTAAGTAGATTAATTATTTAAAAACACTTAGTAAACGAATATTTCTGTCACTAGAGTGACATAACATAGTAATGAAAAAGAAGTAGGAAGAGGTTACGGACAAAAATTGATACAGACATTTATCTATGAAATTTTCATTTAAATTAAATTGATGAAATAATAAAAAAATATTACTTCGATAATATCAAGAGTTTATCAATATTATATTTGCCTCAATTTGAATATAAAAATTTAATATCTGTCATTGATTATACAAATACCACAAAGGACACATAAATGTAAAATTTTCAAAATAGTTTAGAACGCCACGATACAAGTGCACATGGTACACAATATTTTTGATTCTTCGGTATAGAGTTTCCTCTTTCTCTTTTGTCTAGTACGTAGTTAATGGAAAAAATTGAATTCGTCTGTAAAATAGCAATTTTGAGAATACAATATAAAAAATTTCAGTAAAAGTTTCGCGTCTATGAGGCTACTCTGTGAGAAATTCTTGATGCACAATGACTTAAAAATCTTATAAATTTCTTTTGTATATGTACAAAAATATAAAATATGATAGCGATTATAATAAACATTGCTGCTTATTGAACAGAAATTCTATTTATTTATAATATCTATATTAAAATCGAAAAATTAAAGTGTAATGAATTTTGAAATCCGTCTGTAAAAGCACAGACAAGGTATAAAGAACCTTGCGTGTGGTAAAAGGAATAGAAATACTGTAAATTTTTGAATTTGAACATTTTGGGTTCTGCTGTGTTATTGGTGCCAATTTTTTTTGCGTTTTGTATGGTCAATCTTCAATATAAAGTGTGTATAAATGTGTAAGCCAACCAAATGGAGGCACATCATTTAACTATACATTGCATAATTGGCGCCACAATTCAGTGTTACGAGGTTATCAGTTAATTTCTATTGTCGAAATCTAATCTCTAGACATAAAAATATTTTATATGAACAAAGTAACACAAGTCATTAATAATTGTTAAAGTAACAAAATAACATTAAAAAATGTCGCAGAATAAATTAGAAAGTGTTACACATTGCATTTTTGATATGGATGGACTGTTGCTCGGTAAGCAATGTAATTTGGTCGATATTGTATGAAGTCATATTGTACATACCTATATGCTCCAAACTAATGTCAAATAATTTAATTACAATTGAAAAAATAATCTAATTTAACGTCAGTAGTTAGGCAGGATTATTTAAAAAATATTTATTTTTCTTTCACAAGATCAACTTTTTTATTAACATTTTTATGAGACATTACACCTTGAATTAATCTGTAGATAAGTTTATATTTAGTTATACGAATAATTTTGTTTTGTCTATGCACGTATAGTAATGAATAAAACCTCAATGGCAATTATTAAGAAATATGAGGAGTATAAATTAAAGTACCCTACACATCTGTATGAGTGGATTCTACAGTCAATGAAGGGGGTAAAAAAGCACTTATCATGTGTGAGTTTGCATGTGCTTCACTTTTAATCTTTTGGGGAAGTTTCTGATTAACATACGATTTATAAATCTTAATTTTTAAATGAATAAATTAAATAGATTTTATCTATTATATTAATAGTATAAATAATCTTTTATCAAAAACTTAATAGATACGGAGTTACTATACTCGAAAGCTTTTAATCACATCACAAATCGTTATGGCAAGGAATTTACATGGGAGCATAAAGGAAAGATCATGGGCATGAAAACTAACGCTTCTGCTCAAGCAGTACTCGAAATGTTGTCTATACCATTGACAGTGGAAGAATTTGGAGCTGAGTTACTTCAATTGTATCAAGAATTATTTCCTACTGCAAATCTAATGCCAGGTAATAACTATATCCCAATGTAGAATCTTGGAGAATCTTCCAACCAAATTATATGCGAATAAGTTGCATGTGTAATTTTGTATAATAATTACAAAATAAGCATAACAAAAAAAAACTCCTTTGATAGAAAGTGCTAAATTTCATTTTCTATACATGATTCATAATTAGGTGCTGAACGACTTTTGAGACACTTAAAGGAAAATAAGATTCCAATTGCATTAGCGACAAGTTCCAATAAAGAGAATTTTGAATTGAAAACTCAAAGGTGGACAGAAATATTCAATTTATTTGATCATAAAGTTCTTGGAAGTTCTGATCCTGAAGTTGTCAATGGTAAACCAGCACCAGACATTTTTCTAATAGCTGCTAAACGTTTCTCTGATAACCCTGAGCCATCAAAGGTTTGTCAGATTATATTTTATATTATATTACATATTATAAGTTGTCTCATAAATTCGCACCACAATGTGTTAATACTTCTCACGTTACATTTGTAATCATTGAGCGATACAAGTATGAACTGCTTCAGTTTAGTTAGTAGAATGTACTTGAGAGCGACAGGTCGTGAAATTCTAAAAATCTGATATTTAATAAAATATTATTTTATATGGCAGAAAAATAAATGGCACGAACTTATGGGACGAATATATTAATTTGTAACCTTCCTCAAGATGATTGTATAATGAAATTCAATCTGTACGTTATATTTTTAGTGTCTTGTATTTGAGGATGCTCCAAATGGAGTAGAAGCAGCACTCAATGCTGGCATGCAAGTTGTCATGGTTCCAGATCCACTACTACCAAAACATTATATCAAAAATCCAACATTAATAATAAACAGTCTTGAAGAATTTAAGCCTGAAATGTTTGGTTTACCGCCTTTTAAAACATAATGAATGTTTAACATAGATGACATGCTGGACAGGTGCATATAGTTTTAGCACATATACTTTCGTATATGGTTACAAATGCAGATAGAAAATTTTAAAAATTTATATTTGTTGAAAATATAATAAACCATGAATTTAACTTATTACATTATTTATTTTTCATACAAATATACAAAAATAAATTAGTTTCAAGTACTCCCTCTTATGTGTACAAATATTGGAATAAAGTACATATTCGGAGTAGCTCCGTATCATTTTAAAATAAGTGAAAACTAACGATTTTAAAACTGACACAATGCATATGCATGATAGAAAGCATCTCGTTGAACCTCTTATATTTTATGAAATTGTAGACATTACATGTTATTAACATTATAATACAAACTGTGTTAACAGTGTAAAATTTGAATTGTAAACCAATAACGCTGCATAAGTTTCATAGTACAAATTCATCAAGTTTGTAGATATTCTCGTATATACGTAACAAATATTTCTGAAAAATGATAAACATTACACATTTTTCTTTTCTTTATTTTACACATGTATAATAAATTCCTAACATAAATTTATTCTACAAACATTCATTGTAAAAACATTGACCACATATGAGTATCTATTTTAACTTTTCATTTTTTTCTTTTAATAGCTCAAACTTCAAAGAAATATTTAGAAAGAACTTCATGTTATATATAACACTTATAGAACTTACCAAATTTCATCGCTTGATCCATCAGATATGTCTAAGGCACCTGTATTAAAATCTGTTGGCTTATATTGTGAATTGAAACCTGAAAATATTGTATCCAAACATACAACAGAAAATGCATTCCGACTCAATATCTTCTCCATTGCTTCTTTTAAAGAATCATATGCTGCTCTCATGCCATGTGGATATTGAGATAACAAATCTGAAAATATATTAAACTTTTTATTTTCTTTTTCACTTGAGATGTTTGTTATGCAGAAAAATTTTAAATGCATACTTTTGTACTTTGATTGACTCACATCGAATAAATGAAGGTAAAAACACATTTGATTATAAAGTTTTGTTTCTGAAAACTGTAAGACGATATTATACCTTTTAGCGTACTTAGAAATACGAATAAATCTAATTTGAACTTACTACTCTATGCAAATCAGCATCCCCACATTTTCTGCAGGTTGGATACTTTCTGTGGAATCCTAATGGAAGTATTTGTGTTCTTTCACCGCACAGTGGATTTTCGCATTCTAACCAACCATCGTAATATTCCGAAACTGCTTCTCGTACAGCAAGTGTCATTGCATTTTGTATAGCGTTTGCATATGTCCACGGTTTTACTGTACATTCTGAATTTGAACACAGAGCAAGTGATAATTGTTTACCAGCAGGCTATAAAATAATTTGTTTCAATGAACATGAAAACAATTAAAAAAGTTATTTAATTTATGTAGCTACTTACTGTTTCGACTATGATATTTTTGAGTACGATTTCAGATTGACATTTTTCATCACTACAATTAAATTTTAAAGGAAGACAAAACCTGAATCTATCATCATTTACTAATAGTGGTATGTCGTTGTTGTCTTCTTCGTGTATCACTCTTTTAGATTTATATACATTTTCCAAACCTATTTGAGAAACGTGTTGTTTATAATTCTCAAGTGATTATTTATCCTAAAGAACGAGATGAGAAGTGTACCTAAATTCTCAGCTAATAATACATCATCGATTCCTTCGATCGGTTCACAAATTCTCAATGCAATTGGAAATACTTGACTTAACAAATAATAATTAACATCTATTTTCAAAGAATCGCTCTTTTTGTATTCGTCGATGTGGTATGCTCTTTCAGTTGCAGACTTCGACGTTCCATCCTAATACATAGTAAAATCGTTTACGTATCATAAATGTAACTATGACTTTAACGATACTAATTAATACAAACATCGCATATAATATATGGAACAGTGTCTCCAACTTTCCACATTCTACCGCCTTCCTTATTTAGTCTCAAAGCTACTTGCACATGAGCTTGTTTAGCATCTGGATATTCATTTGGATTTTTCGATAACTGTTTCGTAATGACTAACGATGACAGAGAAACTTGATTTTCGCGAACACTTTTTGCAACATTTTGCAACATACAGAAAATTTGTTCCAACCGGTTCTCATTCGATTGATCAGAAAGTAACTGATCCAAAATTTTTCTAAAAAATATTAATAACAATAACAATAACAATAAACATTAAGTAACTACTTGAAAAAGTTTCTGCAATATAAAATATAAATTTTTTACTGACTTTCCAACATCACAAGCTAACTGACACCAATCTCTTCTCACGATGTCCAAGCCTTTATGTTCTTGGGTTAAATCTATTTGCCCATTAGGTAATTTTGTCATTGTAACCGCTGCATACTTTTTCTTCTGTAATAGTAATAAATAGCGAAACACGCCGTCGATATCTAATTCTACGCGCTTGTATAATTTATTCACTTCTTGTTTGATCTAAAAAGTTATTTTATTTTTAGATGTATCCAGTTGTTAAATACAGATATTTACAACAAAGACTTAATAGTTACCTTTTTTCCAACAGAAAAAACCTCTTCGTACTCTATTAAATTAGTATTTATCATAATAGAGTCAGTATCTCCATATATAACTTCATAATTCAATTTTTCAACAAGACTTTTCGTATGTTGTAAAATTTCTCGACCCTTAGCTATAACATTTTTTATATTTTATACATATATATCATAATACGATTATACAAATTTACTTTATATTTTACCTGTCACTAGAGCAGCAAGTCCTTTAGCGTAAAATCTACAATGGGTTGCACCTAAACAACCATACATGGAGTTAGCAGTCAGTTTCAAAGCTAACTGCCTAATGTTATACTGCATTTTTAATTCGGGTGAAATATTTGTTGATTTCATTAATTTTTTCACTTCTACTCTACTCTCAACTAATTTGCGAATTTCTGTCGGTATCACGCCAGGCTCTAAATTTGATTCGGGTATAGCTAAATCCTAAAAATGCATTTATTTATAGCGAAATTGAACGCTTTATTAATGATAATAAATATACTTACCCCGCTATCCGCATATGCAGCACCAGGTACAGTAGTAAAACATAAATTGTATTCTTGGATTATACTAGGGTACAAAGAATTAAAGTCCATCAATAAAATTAGCTTATCGTAAAATCCTTTTTTTGGCTCGAGAACCAAACCTCCAGCATAAGCTGCCTTCTTTTTCCCAGTATTTTCTAAATACAATCCAATGTTATTTAAAAATGAAAGAAAATTTAACACATTAAATATTCATACCATTATTTTCAGCATTTTTCCCTTTCTTTGTAATTCTTTTATCTGGTGTTATATAATTCTTTATATGAAAAGCATGCATTAATAAATATTCATTTCTTTCTGCTCGACCTGCTGTCAATGTTCTTGATATAATATTCCCTGTAAAAGAGAATATACATGTTTCATTGAAGAAATATATCTAAACTTTATATATTTAATTATCTGCATACATACCAGCAATGCATGTAATTTGTAGTGCAAGTGGAAGAACATTAAGTTCAAGTACAATAGAAAGAATATACAATGCTTCTGTTAGCGTTATTTTAATTAAATTATCTATTTTATTTAATGCACCGTAAAATGACGCGCATTCCCCAGGCTTTATTTCCTTGCATTCTGTCTCCTTTTTCTTCAATACCTATGGTAGTAAATATAACTTACTTATATTTCTAATAAGCATATAACCTTTTTACATTATATTCCATGAATATTTATATAATATTTACTGCTGCGCAGAGAGATTGGAGATCGTAACTTCTAACTTTGAGATTTAATTCTTTAGCTGAAACTTGTATATCACACATTGGACGACCAGCTAGTACTTGATTTAAAATTATTTTCCCCTAAAACATATTTAATATAATACATATTAAGAAGCGAACAGTACACTTGAGAATATATCAAATTATTTTAAAAATATAAAAATATGATATAATTGTAATTGAATAATTTCATTTTATGAAAGCTGCGATTTTAATATTGAAGTTCAAAGTTTTAGGTAAATAATATAATATACAATACTCTAATAAGGGGAGGCATGGAACGTCTTAATCTTCCGAGTCTACTCCAGTTTGAAACTTTTAAAGTGAACATTCTGTGCATTAATATATCGAATTGGAAGCCGCAATCATATCCAATCAACAAATCCGGATCTGCCGCATTCACTATTTTTAACAGTTGTTCGAGTAAATCTACTTCAGTATCAAATTTCATTACTTTAGTGTATGAAATATTTGAAAGCATTTCTCGTACTTGTCTCGGCCAAGGAGTATCGCGTGGATGCGTAATTACTACAATAAAGAAATATTACATTGAACATCGAAGACATTATTCAATTTCGAATAATGTGAATTAACATACAACAAATATGTTCCTGAAATGGCGGTTTAGGAGGTTCCTTATCAACGTGGAATTTATGATGTATTAATATTGCAACCATGACCACCTCATTTTGTTGTGATTTAGAATTTAAAGATGTCCGTACATTTAAAGTCATTATCACCAATGGTGGTAAAGCTTGAGGCTCAGAACAAACAATTATATTTTCCATTTTCATACAGTTTGCCTGTTTAATTAAACAACTTATTAATAGTTTAAATTTAGCTTAAAGATAAATTATTTTTATAAATTAAATTATTATACCTTTATTTTACACCAACTAGTCTGCACACCAGTTGGCAGTGGGCACTTGACATCTAACCAACATGGACCTTTAATATTTCTTTCTATTACAAGTAGTTCTAAAGGATTTACTGTCACCCCGAAAACACGTTCTATTGATGGTCCAGTATAGTCAGAAGGTATAGCCGGATAATGTGCTGAATATTTCACTTCTAAATATTCAGACACTGATGGTATACCTTCTTGTTCAAAAGCATAGTGTTTTGTCACCGTACTACAACGAAATTCTTTAATTCCTGATTTATTTGCAAATTGATTAAATTCATTATACACATCTTCCATTGAGTTTAGTTTGGGTTCTTCCTTACTATCTTTAGATGACTTTATCTAAAATTTATACTTGTAACAATAATATATTCAATATTAAAACATATACTTCAATAAATATTTGTACACACATGCACTCTAGGAAGAAGATAAATTCTTCGTGGAATATTTTTCACCGTTAAACAGCAAGAGCAATATGTCTTTATAGATGGTACAAAAACTTTTCCAAATAAATATACAACTCCGGGTTGTTTGTATGGATCTTCGTATGCGTCCCACCAATAAAATCTGAATACCTCTTCTTTATTTGCATTAGTTGTAAGTGGTAAAGGTAACTCTGTAGTATCTACTGATACTTGAACATTTTGTGTTTGCATTGAAAATTCAGTATCTAAGACTTTATTAAAATCTTCTGACTCAAACGTTTCAATATCTTGGTCCTTTATTTGAAAAATTGATTTACAGTTTTCATTCTCCGTATTAACGGGTGGTACTGATTTTTCAACGTGATTTGTAGATTCGTTCTCGAAATTTGTGCTGCAAAACTGTAATAAAGATAATGACTATAAAATCTGTAATTAATTTTGAAGTGTAAAATATTAAATAATTTAATTGCTCACATCACCAACAAATTGACTAAGATCTTCACTTCCTTCTTCAATTATTTGACTATTACTTTTTTCTTTAACATTATCTTTCAACTCTGCTTCAGATATTCTAGATGCCACTTGTGATTGAACATCATCTTCATCATCAAAAATATCTTGACTACTACTATTTTCTAATCGACAAATTGATTCAATTTGTGTATTTATATGTGTTTTCTTGGGTGTATCACATATTGTTAAATCTTCATTACCATTGTCACACTGCAGTTTTTTATGGACAGAAGTGAATCCTTGGTCCCGTTCTGCACAAGTACTTCTGGAATTATTATAACAGTAATAATCTTGTATAGATAGTTATGATATAAATAATGAAATACTAAGTTTCGAGATACAAATTTTTTAAGATATGAATTTTGGACTAGAATGAACTAAGTTTGTAAGTCGAGATACCACTGTATATTATTATTATTATTATTATTATTATTATTATTATTATTATAGACGGCACATATACTAAAAAACAATTAATTACTTCTTATTAGTTCCAGAAGTAGTACAAAATTTGTTTCGAACAGTTCTTGGTTCTGACTTTTTTGGTGTATCATTCTTTTGCAATTCACACATTAAGTCTCCTAAAATATTGTCATCATCGAGTTTAACATCAGTTTTCTTTTTAGAAGGCATTTTCATTAACATATTTTGAATTGACCCTCTCTTTTTATCATCTATTTTACTTTTCTTTGGACCAGAAAGTTTTTGTTTCCTTGCTTCTTGAATACTTTTATCATCCAAATCATCGTCGAAAATTTCTCTACCATCTTCCACATAACCGCTTTCCCCTTTAATGTACAACAATTTTCTTGTATCATTTCTGAATTATTTAAACTCTTATGCGTTAACTAAAATTATTACCATCATCAATGATCCAATCATCATTTTGTCTTCGTAATACAGTTTGATTATATTCTTTCTCATCAACTTCTTCATACACATTCTCCAAATCATCAACCTCATATTTATGTTTACTACCTTTTAATTGTTTCAATTTTTGTAAGGCTGACAGTCTTCCAGTTTTATCAACCTTCTGACGTTTAGTTCTACCTGCTGAGGATGCTAGATAATTTTATTAATAGTATATATCACAAACATTTATAAACAAGTGTATTATGAATTCTTGGTTGATTTATGAAATTATATTCAAATGTTCAAAATTAATACTACAAGTAAAAGAAAAAGTAACAAGAAACATTATTCGCAAGAATGTATAGTAAGTAATAAGTAAAATGTTTAAATCTTATATATTATTCTATAATATAGATATTATGGAATGGTCAAACAATTTTTTGGAAGAAATTTATAAATATAAAAAATTGTTTTATAACTACTTACACTGTGTATCACTCATGATTATCAACAATAAATCGTTAAAACTCAGTACTATAAATTATTATAAATGATAGATTACAAGACAAAATATTACATTGAGGCAAAATATTCACAAAACCACTTATTTAAGGATTCAATGGCAGGTACGATTGGTACTTTCGGCGGGAGTTTTATCCAATTCGATATATTTCCTATCGATTATTCTCGAAAAATATATCATAATAATTTTTGCATAGGATTATATTGCTAACTTCACTCGACAAGTTTGTGTTCAACGATCGACAAGCACATAAGCAAGTCGTACAAAGGTAACTTTTTTAACTTTAAAAAACGTGTATTTCACACATGTATTTGTTTAATATTACAAATATCATAGATAAATATAATTGATTTTACACCTATTCACATTTTGAATTCGTTGCGCAATAATTAAGGTTTCGTGTCGTCATTATATTCTACTACTAACACATATCTACCATGTACATATTTATTGTAATCTTTCGTTAGTTTTTTCCATCTGTTTTTATCATTTTTTTTTAAAGTTTATCATATTAAGTAAATAATGATCGTTACATTTAAATTCTTTAACGTGGATATTTCGTGACTTGTATAAAAGTGTACAGTTTCTTTCGTCGTTACGTATATTCCTATATTTTAAAATAATATTTTTTATTTGTACAAATTAATATAACCAATTTAATGGTAACTGATTTATATTTGTATGAGCCTAAATTGTAAGCTTCGAATTCTTAATATTTTTTAGTTACAATGCCAAAAACGCATAATTCTACTGTTTTTAATGGAGAGGCTGATAATTATTATGATCCCAATTTTACTTTGGACATAAACAAAAGGATGCGTGTACCAAAGAGTATTCGTGTGAGTGGTGACTACACAGATGAAGATGTAGCTGGCACAAACGGCTCTGCTTGGAATCAAATGGTTGCTGCAGAGAAATTTGAAATGCATGTTCCAGAGAGAATTTTAGTTGTTGGTAAATATAAAGTAGTCTTTTTGCTATGTAACATTCAAAAAACCTTTTATTTAGATACAAAAGATAAAAATTATAGAATATTTTTAATAGATGAATTAAAATGCTTATAAAATAAAAGAAAATTTGGTTTGCAATGTATCTAAATAAAATTGTGTATAAATTAGAAAGATGAGAGAGCATCTTAAATATCTTAAATACATAGAATTTAAAAAAAAATTTTAATAAACTTCTATGTACTATAAAGTTATTAATTATGATCTTAAAAGAATTAGTTTTTGTATATATTTAATGAAAGAAACATTGAATATTGGTTAAAATTATATAGGACAAGAGCAACATATTGGAACAAAGGCACCACCAAGAGAAATTACATTAGAAAAAGCTGTATTACCTCCTGAACCAGGCATTGTTAGAGTACAGGTAAGTAATGCAGTTGAACCTTGATAAATCAAGTTGCAGAGGAAGAGATCTTTGAGTTATAAAGATTTCTTCTTATCAAGTTTTCGAATAAAAGAAATTTAATAAGCAATAATTAGATTTATAGAGGCTTTGTGAGAGGATCAAAGAGTTAGTGAATCTATAGAATCAATTACATGTATAGATTATAATATTTAACTTATACATAAAATATATTATATTTGTAGAGCTTGGATTTGTTCTGAATTTGAATTATGGAGATAAAATATATACTAGACACAAAGCAAATAATTTGAAATTATAAAGTTTTTGTATGTCGAGTTGCAGAGGTTTTTATAACAAAGTGGATAGGAATGAAGAAACTATGAATTACAGAGATTCAACTGTACTTAATATAAACTTCTATGATTAAAATATTAATGCACTATCTAATTTTTATATAAATTATTTCGGCCTATGTTACTATATTTAATGTGTACTTTTCTTATGTTCACTAATATTTATATTTTTGTATTATTGATAGACTCCGCCAAGAATTTTAACATTAGATAATCACTACTTCCCAGGAGATGATGAGGAAGAACAAACATTGTATACAGCAGAGACAAAGGAATCAATATCCTCTAAATCTTGTGTACCATATTCTACAGAAACACAAATAGTTAGGCATGCTAGGTATAAATATTTACATTTACCTACATATATATTTATATGTATCGTGTTTTGTGGAAAATACATGACTTTTTTTTAGGGAACAAACACCTTCGTATAGTGCGCTCAATGTTTCTCTTCCACCCAGTGAAGAAATACAACATTTGCGTCGTCAAGTAGGAAAATTAAATCGCCGTGTAATGGCCGTTGAGTTGGACATGTTGCAACGTCAACAAAGAGATAAAATTTTATATGCATTAACATTAACATACTTAATTCTTAAAGCCTTTTCTTGGTTAACTAGGAACTGAATTTATGTTATGAAAATGGGAGAAACTTGCATCTTATATGAAAAGTGATGTTATTAATCCATATAAGTACAAGACGTAAAATTATGTTATTTCAAGAGAATTTATAACCAAAAACACTTTACCTTGGGTATATGAAATTATAAAGCTATTCAACATGAATGTATTGTATATATTCAAGACTAAGTTATAAAGAATGCTTGCATGAAAGTATTACAATAAAATTTTTAAATATTTAACTTATAAAGCACAACATTTGTTACTTTCATGCTCTTTTTAATATATAAGTTTATTTTATTTAATATGTACACATATATACAAATACATATAAAGCATTGAATATATACGATACTAATGTTCTAAAACAATGGAATTTGAACGTTTCTATAATACATTTGTAAAGTGTGACTTGCATTTTAAAAGGAATAGCACATAAATTCCGTACATGTTTATGTTACAGATTTAAATAATGTGAGTAGTATTATTTAGTAATAATAAACTGAGAACGTATACACGTATTAGATATAATATCAAGTATAATAGGCAAGCATAAATTTTCAAAGGTGAGAAAGAATTTGTAACATTTCAGTTACTATTATTCAATGAACCTAAAATCTATTTTGATTTTGATCACTTTATATTTTAGAAATTCTATGTAAATAAGAAAATAATGATATATTGACTAAATTGTTAAAACCGACTATTGGAGAGCAAGACCTGAATAAAATGTGTAACATATAAAGCACTGAACTGAGATGATAGAGACTTTGAGTTGTGCGTTTACACAAGAATTTTTTAAGGATATTTCATCTCTACAGAGGAGTCTGTTTCTGAAATCCTTCAAAGTTCCAGTATTTACAAAAGTATCGTTACTGATTCTATTTATTAACCTGCGTCGGTAAAAACCATTTCAAAGTTGGTTGATTGTTTATGTAACGATAGGTGGCACCACAAACATCAATTTTCTGACGAATAAAAACTACAGACTATTAGAGGACTATTAATTATACGCTTTTTTCTAAAGACTAAAATTACGTATAGAGATTGCAGTTTATGGGAATTTTCGTCTAGAGATTTTCGAGGGTCTCAAGATCCCGTATCATTTCGGTGTCGCACTCTACGTTACCGATAATACAAGATTTTAGACTTGTTTAGCAGGAATCGCATTAGTTTTATACTTAATTTCTGGTACGAGTGTGACATATGATTTAGCGGCAATAAATGTATCTACGTAATTATTTAATAGAATAATTAATGATTCCTGTTTTGATTTTACTTACGATGTACTATTAAAATTTTGACGATTTTAATAGGCATGCTGGTTGTGGAAGCGAATCGCTCAAACGCTTTCGTTGTCAGAATTGACGAGTTTCATACAAATCTAATTCTCCGAATTCGACAACAATATAATTTTTATAGCTAACCACACAGTAAAAACCGATCTCTGCTTTTTCGCTTCAACTTATTATCAGTATTTTTTTAATTATTAGAAATTACGGTACAAGCCTTTTAGCAGATTTTTATCTTATTTACAAACAGGTGATGAAGAGTTACGGAGTCTATTCCTGGCATACGATTTTAAGATTTAAGTCTGCTTACAATTAGGGAAGAATTAAGTAGAAACAAGAAAAGCAAGTGACTCGTAGCCCTCTAGTGATGGTGCTATCACAATCGCTACAATTTTTCGCTCTGAAGATCAATTTAGTCATTTATTATTTTATATGTTTAATGTAGAGATCTAAGATATATTGTTGTATTTAAAATAATAATTTTGAGGCATTGAAATTTACAAAAAGAAAATAAATACACTAAAAATATTGAATGATCGATGATATAACCAGCTTATGATACTTTCTGTTACTGAGAAATTTCTTGCCGACAGAGATAGAAAGGTATCTTTTCTATTTCCTTTTGCAATGAGAACTAAAATAATGATATTTAAAAATGTGTATAAGATATTAGAATGGTGTCTGTATATCAAAATATTGTATACATCAGGATATTGTAACATATTAATATACGTGTATATGGGTATGTTATTTTGATAGATTGTCTCAATTAACATGATTTTAATTATATTTGTGTATTTGTCTAGAATCATATCTTTACAATTAAAGATGTGTTATAATATAGTTAAGATATTTTACCTTATTTATAAAATTATTAAAATGGTAACCATCTGGCCTCTTGGTCTAGGGGTATGATTCCTGCTTTGGGTGCAGGAGGTCCCGGGTTCAAATCCCGGAGGGGCCCGATCTTCTTTTTATACCCAAATTTTTATATTGTATTCCTAAACATTGGTAAAATGTCACTTCTCAGATGACAAATAATTTTTTAAAGATAATTAAATGAGTCTTTATAATACCTTTATTTTTCTAATAAAACTAATATAACCTAATACATACGTTGTCAAGATGTATTCATGAAACAAGGAAAATAAATTTCAATCTCCTGTCTAGTAATATTATAATAAACACTGTACCCTACGAATTTATATCAAATTAGTATCCCAGAAGGATAACGCACTTATCGCGTACACTTTGATTCATATTCATAATTAGGTCATTTACTTCTTTATCAGTATAATTTATAACAAGACTCCATCACTGAATATACAGAACTGTTCAGCACTATCAGTACACATTTATTGAGATTGTTTTTATTATTAACTAATATTAACAAATTAACTTCTTTATTAATAAATAAAACATATTTCAGAAAAAAAATGTCGAATAACACTATGTTGCTATAATGCAGTGGTGCTAAAGATAAATACGGTATTTTACAAGTAATTTACTTACATTGTTGTATTTGTCAGTTTAATTTGCAAAAGTAAATGCATTTAATATTTTTCAAACTTTGTGAGTACGTACTTCAAAGCAAATATTTAAAGTTAGATACATATAAATTATACTCTTTCGTTTATATTCTCTATATTCTCTCTATCACAATTAGTATTAAAAAAATAAATAGAAACAGCTTTGTAAAAAGCACATATGTCAACATACAACACATTTTCAACTTTGATTTATTATTGCAAAAGAAAGTATTAGATGTATGTGAACAATTTCGTGCACGAGTAAGCAATTTCAACTTAATCGAAGAAGTACTTCATAATCCATCATGGCAGCCATAAAGAAACTTAAGGTTAGTGCTTTATCTTGCAACATTTATAATATTAAATTTTGTTCAATATAAAAATTCACGATACAATCTCAAACGTGCAAAGATCTATCCAAAGAAATTATATATGAAAATATTTTTCAATATCAGATGAAAAAATCAGTAATTTCCGATCACTGGAAAAAACCAACACCCCCTCCAGTTTCCCGGCGTGCCGTGCTTCCGCTTCGAATTGCGCGCGGCGTGTTTCCCTACTCTCCGAGAAAGTTAAAGATGGCGGTGGGGGTTCGTGGTGCGCATGCACCAGTTCCTCAATGGTCGGGCAAAAACACAGCTGGTCTATGATCTCCGAAGCAAGCTGACGGTCGGAACGCTATCAATGTGATTTTCGTGTGATTCTCAGCCGATCTACCGGTCAGATCGCGAGGGTACGGAAGCGAGCGTGCGTCGAGAAATCGTTCAAGTGCTCGGGGGTCCCAGTGTTTGATGTGTGTGCTTAAATGTATGCAAAACTTAGTAAACGCGGTGTCACCACGAGGATTTTTCACTGCCCTGGATACAAAGCAGTCTCGAGAGGTGCTTCGAGCGTCCTTTCGGTGAGTCCAACCGCGGATCCTTGCTAAGTTATCCTTCTCTCGAACGTACCCGTCGCGTCCCTGGTCCCTGCCACTGTGGCTTCGCAGTCGCGTAGCCGTGCGACCTTTTTCGATCTATCCGTGTAACATCGTCCCTGCGTGTCGTCTGTCGCGGAAGTACCCGTGCGATTCTCAGAGTCCCATGAACCCGACCGAACTTTCGACCTGCGAGAACGAAAGCGGTGCCGCACCATTCCCACAGCGAGTCGTTCTCGGAACAATAAAGTGCTCTCCCGGTAAACGCGTTCTCCAAATCGGGCAGAAGTCCGGCGTCGCGGCCCTGCAGCATCATCAGCAAATAGGTCAGAGGAAACTTTCTGTAATTCCGCAGTATGATCCCGGACAGGGTTCTCGCCTGTTGAGAGAAAGAGAGGAGATTCTTATCGCGAGTTATCTGCCGTTGCTCCTCTCTTGCATACGGGTACCCTCGAATTTTCACTTCTCCCCCACCCGTGGGCTGCCTTTGTTATCTCAGCCACCGGAGGATCATAAGTTTTCCCTCAGATTTTTATCGTCTTTACGCGACCGTACGTGCGCACCGATGGTAAACATCGTTGAACGGAAATTTTCTTTGGATGTCCTGGCAGCCACGCGTGCTTGCTGGATGAGATATACACATACACACACATATGTACACAGAGGGATTCGTAAAACTTTTTATTTCGGTCGATCGGTTCTTATATCTTTGGTCGAGCTTCATGGAGATTCGAGATAGGGGTTCGTGGCTCGGCCAAGTTCGGAAAGTGTTTCGACGGACATTTAGGTTCCGTTCTATGGAAGCGACACTGCGTGGCCGTGAAGTGGACCCTTGACGGAGCAGGTCCTGCCGATGCCGCAGGACGTTTTATTGTCTGGGAAGGATACTTGCGGTGACTAACGAGAGTTTTTTGGGGTTTGCCGAAAAGTGTGCGTGACTTTGAATGACGTACATGTTAGTGGAGTTTGTTTTCGTGTTTAAATGGTCATTGACGTTGTATTGAAATAGAAATTAGACAGGTCGTGTGACCCTGAGTGATACTCCGAGCCCTCCACATCTCGTTTTTCAGTTAACTCTTTGTCCCAAGACTTGAAACTCAAGTACTCTAACTCCCTGTTAATTTTACTATCATACGGTATTTTTTCCTTCATGGACACGAGACCAATAAGGTGTGCCTACGAGGGAACTGCGAGTTTCATTTTCGTGAAACCTGGTGCGAGATATAGGAGAAAATCCGTAGAAATAAAATTCTCGATATTAGCTGATAATACCTGTCTACTGTTGTAACCAATGATGCTAAAGTGTGAATATTTCGAAGTTTACGCTTGTGTAATTATATTGTGATGTATAAAAAATTCTGTTACTCATTTTCGAGTTAAACGATCATATTCATAATAATTACTATTACTTATATTGTATTAAACTGATTATTACTATCAGCGTGCTGTTACTGTTAATACAATATAGATTTATCAAACTGCTTCTTCGTGGTGGTCAAAGAACTTGATTTAACAATAGAACTACCGGATGGGTTAGAATGACTTATTTCTGATTTCCTCTTTTACAATTACTGAAAAGGTACAGATACTTCTACGAGAAATTATTAACGGAACTAATTCAGTAATAGTAAAACTGAAATGCGACTCAATTGAAATCTCAATAAACGCACGCTTATGGTTTTTATAAAGAAATTTGTAAAAGTCAGTTTAAGTGATCAATAGTTCTAGTGTTAAAGAAAGAACAAAGTTACCGGGCACATTAACACGTTCGCTACTAGCGTCACATATTTGTGACGGCCGTAATCCTCTATTTTACATAATGAAAACTAAATTAATCCTGTGGATATTGTTATTAGATATTATAAACTACGAAGTTATATTTAGGAACTCAATGACTCGTTTCAATTTCATTTTTCTAATATTTTGTTTAGAAGATTTATTATATCGAAGAAAATATTATAATTGAAGAGACCGTCACCATAATAAGCGGTGGTAGCGAACGTGTTAACGTATTTCAATCTGAAATTAAATTTTTACAATTATTATTGGGCTCTGTTAGCAAATATTTGAGATTTTATTTATACATATTAATCCCAACATTTTTCGTCGGATTCTATTGAAAATGTGCTCGTCTCAATTGTTTACTTCCGTCGCAAGTGTCTCAGGGAGCTACTGTTACTAAAGTTTGCTTTTCGAAAAAAGAGACCCAAGGTGTGTCGTGTATCAAAATACCTGTCTACCCTATTTCGACCACGTTAGCCAAACGTTACGTGCCTGGAGACGCGTAGACGACCATTGTAACCAATGGTGTACTTAGTTCCCTTCTTGTCAGAGTAAAAAAGAGCAGACCATTGTTCGCTGTATCTCCGTTACCGACGGTAACGAGCACATCCTTGGAAATTGTTAATACATCCAAGCCAGTGTCGTTAGCCCGACCCGCGTGTTTATACGCAAACACAGCTGTGCCGTAATTCGGTGGATAACGTTATCATCCAAGCTCAGTATCTGCGAGCGGCCGCCGGGGTCTTGAACCCCGTCGCCCGTCGAACTATTTTTGTGTCGCCATTTGCTCTGTCACTCGGCAACTCTGGCGAGAGAGGATCCGACAGTTGTCGAACGGTGCTGCAGTCCTCAGGACTCTGACCTTGTCCTATGCAAAACGATGCCTCGTGTCCGCTCGGCCCGAGTTTTTAATCGCCCTACCAATTAACAGACCAGCGACTCAGTGTTGCGGCTTAATTAGTCAGTACGTGACGAGTCGGTCGGCTTGGTCAACCGCTGCGGTCGGCGTTTAAAAATGTAATAAATTGCTATCACATTCTTTCTTTCTCTTTCTATCTTCTCTGCTTTTCCGCAATCCGTCTTTCGTTACATCGATTTGGTAATCATTGAACTTCGAACGTTTACTCTAGATTTCTGGTTTTCTCGGTATTGTGTATAGATTGTCTCGATTCGGGTGATACTGTCGCCGTGCAACGATCCGCGAATCGCAGTGTCGAAAATTGTTGATGTTAGGGAAATGGTATGATGAGTCTAATTTCGAACGGTAGACAGCTGTTACCGTTGGACGGGATTTGTATTGGGTAATTAACCGCCGTTAAAAAAGTACGCGACGCCCCGATAGCGTCAGATCGAAGTATCGGGTTTCCACCACACTCGGCCTCGATCCGGTTTACAGACTCCTCCACGAAATTCCGGGAACCCTGTGTTCCCATTGTGGTTCGTCATATTCTCGGTAACGTTTAGTTAGAACTGCGATGATGTACACGGCCGTGTTAATGATTCTTGCCGCTTATAGGCGCGTGACTTGCGGTCAAACGGCAAGCAATATTTGACCGTCGCTTATATCTTTTCGAGCTTAGGTACGGGATCGTCATTAGCTGAACCTCCCCTGTGCTAACTTAATATCCTATTTGTCTGACTTTCCTTTTATCGTGTACTGTAATAAATTATCGTTAAACTGTGCGTTTTATGCGCATACTTATAGTTGGCAGAATTCAGTATGGACGAGACTTTAATTAATGAATTGAAACTTGTCATCTTGAAACTAAAATCAATAGAAGTTTCAAGAACCTTTAAATCTATCTTATTTTTATTGGTATAAATTTCCAAATTAATTAATTAATAATAATAATAATAGTATAGAAAAGTTTCTTTTAGTTATACATAGTTGTCAGCCATAAAACGAATTTATTAACCAACTTGGTACAGTCTGTACGCGAAGGATAGATATGGAAAACCATAAAAAAGTTCTCTTTTTACGAGACTCGCTACTTAACTGTATAAAGAAGATATCTCGCTCATGAAGTTCGGTGAAATATTAGAAAGACCGAAGCGGTAGCGAAACCAGTATTACGCTGGCGCGCGAGTAGCGAAAGTGGAGAAACTTTCCGATCTTCGTGACGAAAGAAACATCGTGATACAAATTATGCGGTTCGCGTGGCCATGAATTTTCAACGAACCTAATAGATCTCCGGATTCTCGAAGTATTTGGATGTAACAGTACGTTTCCGTATCCAATGTTGGACGTACACTACCACCCTAAAGTTTCCGGTCAATTTTCCTTTCTATGTAAATATCGTTCAATGCGTTGAAATATTGTGTAGATGCGACATGTTCACCTTACTTGATATTTTCGACTTAGTATAAACTGTTTGAGAAGTTTGGACAAGTTTTTACTTGTCAATGAACAAACTTCATTGGCCAAACGTTGAGCATCATTTTTGTTATATTGTCGAACTGATATGATTGATTTTCGGAATGTTAATATATCAAGCTATGTTAGTCACTAAAATCTTGAATGCAGTCATTTTCGTTTCTACTAGTGACAATACATAATTACCAGTAGATTATCAAACTACTAAGAAAATGTCATTGACACATAAAACGGAAATATCGTATGAGACCAGATTGGTTGTATATAGAACAAAGTTTCCAGAGTTCCAATGTTAAACGTTACAAAAATGTCTTGTCCAATTTTTCTCAAACCATAAATTATCAATGTTTTCCGAAAATTTCGAAAACTTTTTCATAAATCTTTAACATGTCGAATATGCAAATTCCGTTGTTACCGAAAACCAAATGAGCTAAATGAGAATTTATAGTAGCTTTCGGGTTAACCTATAAATTGGTAATAATTTTTACACCGTTGAAAACTTTCTACCCTGAGCGCACATAAATTTCATGGTGTCCGTGTATCGTGGAAATATTCTACATCGACTCGCGGTTCAGTAATTCATCCACGGAAAGTTTTCTATGTCCGGCACATGGAAACCGAGAGACACATATGCACACGTGCCCTGTTAACACCGCTCCTCTCGCTAACGTCAGGCGTCGCGTCGCGCATTTCTTCGTTATCGCCTCGTCGCTAGTGGGCGTCGCTTCGAGGGTGAGTTCTTGTCGCAGCGAAATAATAAACAGGCGTTCGTGTGAACGCGGTTGCCGGTTGACCTTGTTTCGGCCGATTCTCGCTATATCCGTAATTT